CCCCCCGTTTCCAGGCTCTATTGTTCACCCTCACCCCCCCCGAGGACCACCGGTGCCCCCCAGCGCGCCCGCTGCCCGTAGGATGGCCCGCCCGGCCGCTGCTCCCGCAGGTACTGCACCCCTCGCTCCACCTCAGGGCGTCCCTTGGGCCTGAGGGCCCCGGGCCTCCCTAGGGACATTGGTAAGAGCCCCCATGGCAGCTGTGTCATGGCCAGAGCCTGGTCCTGGTGCTGATCCTTGTGCTGGGACAGAGGACAGCGCTGATGGGCCCAGGGGGCTCAGAGGTGGGTCCTGGCCAGGGGGCCCACCCTGCCCCTGGAGCCCACCGGAGGGATGTCCCGATGCGGGGATGCGGTGCTCCCTCTGCGTCCTGGCCTGGTGAGGGTGGTCAGCAGGATGGGGCAGGGCCTGGTGCAAGCAGACACAGCTGGGCTGGTGTCTGTGCCCCTGTGCGGGACCCTCTGGGGGGCTGGCAGGAGCAGGGTCCCCAGCACGATGCCTGTGAGCCAGGCCCATGCCCAGAGCTGGGGATGCTGCTGTGGAAACAACGGCTCCAGGGCAAGGGCTCTGGAGGCTGGGGCTGCCTGGTCCCCGTGGCTGCTGGCCTTCTGGAGCTGGTGCCAGGTCCTGTCCCCATCCTTGTCCCTGTGCCAGGCCCTGGGCTGCACCCACCATCCCCCGGACCCCCAGCTGGTGGAGAGGAGGTCGTGCGTGGCATTGCCGTTGAGAAGTTTGACATTGTCAAGAAGTGGGGGATCAACACCTACAAGGTGAGAGGTGGGGGAACACGGGCAGGCCTTCCTGACCCCCTCCCACAAGCAGCTGCTCTCAGAGTGGTTCGGGGGACTCACACGTGCTTTGGGGGGCCCTCCTGGTTTCCCCCTCCTGCAGTGCACCAAGCAGCTCCTCTCAGAGCGGTTCGGACGGGGGTCCCGCACGGTGGACCTGGAGCTGGAGACTCAGATTGAGCTGCTGCGTGAGACCAAGCGCAAGTACGAGAGTGTCCTGCATCTGGCACGGGCACTCACAGCCCATCTCTACAGCCTCGTACAGACCCAGCACGCCTTGGGGGATGCCTTTGCTGACCTCAGCCAGAAATCCCCTGAGCTCCAGGTTTGCCAGGGCTAGGGGGACACTGGAATGAGGGCAGGGCCTCACTGGAGTGAGGGGCAGGATGGGGAGTGCTAGGACTGGGAGGGGACACCTGGACACTAGGGCTGGCTTGGGGGGCAGGGGGGGGCTGGTGTTTGACACTGGGGTTGTGGGGGTCAGGATGTGGGGAGTCACACTTGACACCATGGCAGGAACATGATCTGCACAGGAGTGGATGTGTGTGCTGGTGCTGGGTTTGGAAGTGCTGGGTCAGTTGGCCTCAGTGGTCTCAAGGGGCTTTTCCCCCAGCATCCTTGATGGAGGGGAGTGGGGGTGTGATCCATGGCCCCTCACCTGTGCGCCCATCCCTCTGTCCCCAGGAAGAGTTTGGGTACAACGCGGAGACACAGAAGCTGCTGTGCAAAAACGGGGAGACGCTGCTGGGTGCTGTCAACTTCTTTGTGTCCAGCATCAACACGCTGGTCAACAAGACCATGGAGGACACGCTTATGACAGTCAAGCAGTATGAGACAGCCAGGTGGGACAGGGAGCTCAGAGGGGCTCAGGAGTCCTGGGGAGATGAGGAGGCAGGCCACTGATGGCAGGATTCCGTGCAGGCTGGAGTATGACGCGTACCGCACGGACCTGGAAGAGCTGAGCATGGGCCCACGCGATGCCGGCGCTGTGAGCCGCCTGGACGCAGCCCAGAGCCAGTTCCAGAGCCACAAGGACAAGTACGAGAAGCTGCGGGCGGATGTGGCCATCAAGCTCAAATTCTTGGAGGAGAACAAGGTGGGTGCAGGGATGGGAGGTTGGGGTGGGGAGGGGGAGCACAGGAATGGGAGATGAAAGACAGAGGGGGGATGCAGAGAGGGGGTACTTGAGGAGGGAGCGTATGGGACAGGGATGGGGTTGTGGGATTGGAATGGGAAGTGCAGGGATAGGAGGCACGGGGATGGGGTCCCTGCAGGGATTTGACAGCCACATTGGATTTGTCACTTAAGGACACAAATTGGGTGGAATGGGCAGTGTGGGAGGGGAGCAGTGGCACTTGAGGGGGGGTCTCAGAGGGCTTTCCAACCCCTTTTCTGTGCTGCTGGGGTGGGATCAGGCCCCCTCCATCATGATCCTCTCTCCCCTCCCCCCCAGATCAAGGTGATGCACAAGCAACTGCTGCTGTTCCACAATGCCATCTCTGCGTACTTTGCTGGGAACCAGCAGCAGCTTGAGCAGACCCTCAAGCAGTTCAACATCAAGCTCAAGACCCCCGGCGCCGAGAAGCCCTCCTGGCTGGAGGAGCAGTGAGCCCCCCGTGCCCCCCGGATGGAGGAGCACACATGGACCTCAGTTGTGGCCAGGGGCTTGTGGGGGCCACAACCTGGGCCTGGTCTTGGATGGGGGGGGGCCACCAGGTGTGGGGAGCTGCCTGGGGCCCCCCATCCCACAGCCCCTCCTCAGGGCAGGGTGCAGCAGCTCCTCAGCACAGACCCCACACAGCAGACAGCTGGAGCCCCCCTGCTCCTGACACTCCTAAGGGGCTGGGGACACCCCACTCACCTTGGGGTGAGCCAGGACCTTCCACTGTCCCCCTCTGCCTTCCCGGGGCAGGATGAGGGTGCACCCCTCCCAGGCCCACTGCCAACTTCCACCCAGAGAGACCCCTGCCCTGTGGCACAGTGGAGCTGGGTGGGGGCAGCACCGGAAAAGCCAGGTTCCCCCTGTGTCAGGGCAGGGCTGTGGGGCCTCCCCGCTGCACCTGGCACCCAGGTAGGCTCCTGCTCTGCCCTCCAGTGCCAGGGACACCCTGGCTCCCTCCAGGCCATTCACAGGTGTTTCCAGTGTGGCTGCTCTTGCACTCCTGATTCATAGGGCGCTGCACCCCCCAAAGACCCCCCCTGCCTCCCTGGGGCATCCTGGGTGGGCTGGTGATAGGTCCCTGTGCCCTGCAGCTAGTGGCAGGGGGGAGTTGCTGGCCCGGTCCCCGGGAAGAGGGCAGGGGGCTCCAAGCAGGGACCAAACGTCAGTGGAGGCACAGGGGGGAGCACGCGTGCCCGTGCATGTCCGTGTGCGGGGCATGTGTGTCCTGGGGCTGGGGTCCTGCCAGGGTTCACCCCCACCCCTCAAGGGGCCCCCCGCCCACCCCCGCACTTGGGCACTTTCTCCTGAGACA